CTGGTGGTGCCCATGGATGGGAGCCACCGGCTTAGCACGTGGCAAGCAGCGGAGACGCTCACCCAGAGAGGACATCAAGCGGCGGCGGTGTTTATACCAGAAGTAAGCTGGCAGATGGGCAGTTTTTGGCACCCTTTTATTATATGTCATGTGATTACAGATACAGATTTTCTCATTTTGGAGGTAGAGAGCGGACATATAAACATAAGCTGAGTTCCTAACTGTTACCGAACTGAATACTGGGAATCACCGAACGCATTACCTTTGAGGCTTCAACGAGTTTATCACAGGCTCCACATCGATACAAGTTATCATTTTCAAAGTATTCTTCTTCCACATACATGTTCCACAGGGCCTCTTCCAAGCCAGCTACACCTTTTACAGCCACTGTTAAGTCTAAGAAATCTTCCTATGCAGAAGTACAACAACACATAAGTAATGTGAGGTGTAAGTTTATAGTACATTAGAAAGACACTGATCCCATTAACTGCAGATGCGAGCATTCATTTTGCTTTCGCTGCTGACATGCCAAAACATATATCCACAGAATAGGAATTAAATCATTTCAATTTTTCTTTTTAATTAGAAAGAGCAGGGGAAAAAAAAGGCGAAAAGATATGTTTTACTGTTGTTGCCTCATTGCTCATCTCTGAGAAATACATCTACTAAAGGCAGCGCTTGGCAACTCAGAAGATGCAATAATGCTTTCTGCTCCACCCATGAGTCACATCACACATCCGAATGTAGGTGGTTTAGAAAATGCCAGCCAAGATTTGCCAACAAAATCATGCATAATTTCCACATTTTTATAAGCCTGCACTGCTCTACCAATATATGCTACTTACCTTCAACAGATCCTCAGTGACATGCAAAGAGATGTAGTTTTTTCATAGGACTTAAAGAACAAATAAACAAAAAATACCCTCTACTTTTAAAGTAGTAGAAAATATCTTCAACAAGCTGAACAGGTTCTGGTAGGGGAAAAAAAATAGAAGTGGCTTTACCTGTCTCTCACTGACATTCTTGCATTCTTTACAAACAATCTGGTTGACAACAATCCCATGGTACAATCGATTAATAATGTCATGACCTGAAGTCCCAACAAGGGAAGTTTCCAGAGCACTGAACAGAATCCGATTCAATTCCTGCACATCATGCTGCCTCATTTCCTGCATGATAAAAAGCAAACTTGAAGAAAAAGAAGTGACATCTGCTTTGCTTATTGTTCTGCCTAACCACTTAAAGATATACGGTAAGCGTGGCAAAGAGAGCTGCCTCAATGGTTACCAAGTAATTACTATCTTTAGAGATATTTACTATTGTTTGTTCCCAAGTATTTTCTATTTGGAGACACCCTTTACTATTATTTGTCATTCTTAATTTAGTTATGCTTCTTCTGCTACAAGTACACAAAATGTACTCCCATTAGGCCCTAACATGAGTTACACAGGTCACTTTAAGTAATAATCTAATTATTTAAAGGATGAGAGCCCTAAAAACTGTTGGAAAGGTGTTCCTGCAAAAAAATAAAGGAAAAGCTACTGAAACCATATCTAGAAGAACACCTTTTCTCTGTGCTCACTGGAAACAGTTGGCATGTACTTCATGTGAAGATGTAAACCAAGCAGTACTGGTTGGCCCAATTAAAAACTACCTCCACAACTCAAACTATAGTAAGACTTTTTTAAAGTGACAGACTTTAAACTTTCCTGAAAGGAGAAAATATTTTTATCAATGATGGGGTCGGAGATGGGGATTTGTACCTCATTACTATTCCATCCAAAGCTCTCAGTAAGGTCTGTTGTAGATGCTGCCTGCTGGTCTAAGAGCAGAAGCTGAGCAAATAACCGTTGAAGCTGTAATGGAATTATTCGAACCTAAGTGTAAAAAAGAAAAAAAAACAAAAAAAACAAAACCAAAATACACCCATCAGATCAGAAAGATGCATTAAACCAATCATTTAAATAAAATGAAATGCAATTTAGTACAGAAATTATAATAAATGACCACTGTCTATGGCTCCCATAATATAGTTTAATCAACTGCCAGCTGTATAAAACAGCATTCAAACTTGGTTCCCAAAATCCATGTCTCAGCTGGTTAGCTAAATATAGTCAAAGAATGTAAGTTTTGTGATAAAGTAAAACTGTATGGACTAAAATTAAACCACCACCATAGTGTAAAAGGACAATTTTTTTTTATATTTTTTAACAATGCTAAACTCTAAGAACTCACCCACAAGACATTAAAACTTACAGACTTGCTCCCTGTTCAGGAAAGGATTAGGTGGTGGGGTGGGAGAAGATGGGAAGAAGAAGGGTTAATGTCAATGAGCTCAATGAGCTGCCTATTTTTATCTTTGATTTCCACAGAAAAACTATTTCCCAAGCAGCCAATTGTGTCACTTCAGTCCAAAAGCTAAAGAATGAAATTCTGTGGTCAACATGAGTAAGCACTTTTTAAACAAAGATTAAATTCCAATCCCGTGATACCTTGAGCGTGAGTGGGCTGCTAAACCTTCAAAGAGCCTCAGTGCAGGAAACCGGGCTGCACACATATTTAGTGTTTTTACCGATAACAAATAAGCCATAGTGCTATAGCTTTGATTACAGCAGAGAAAATCTAGAAAAGCACCGTACAGACTTTGGGTTTGTTCCTACTCCATGTGAAGTCAAAAGGACTTCGGCTATCAAATTCAGCAGAAATAGGCTCAACATCTGACTTTTACAGCAAAAGCTATGGCACTGAAAGCTTATATCTGTGTGCAAAATGGAGCATCCGCTAAACAAACTTTCTCTCAATATAAATGTCAGATTTTCAATCTCATGAGAAATTTCATGTGAAGTAAAACAACAGTCTTCTGAATCAACACACAGCAGTGATCAATTAAAAAAAAAATTTAAACACCTTTGCATCTGGTTTACCAGTATCATCCAGAGTCCCAAGTTCCTCAGGTCCTAGAGAGAACAGCGCCTCTGTAATTAAAATGAAAAATGCCTTTTTAAAAAAAAAAAAATCTTTTAAGGTCTTCTCTTTAATGATTTATTTTACTGTAGCAGTCACACATGCCTTATTTTTTTTTTTATTTTTTTTTTACAAACTAAGTTATTAAATAAATGATGTTAAGAAACATTGTGCCATATAACTGGTTCAGGCTAAACAATGAAGTATAAATATGCATCAAGGCTTTTATATAGCAAATATTTACTTTTTCAGGAATTTTAACGATTGCATTTAAAAATGAATGCCACATTATGGACAGTAATAACCTCTCCTATTTACACAAGCATTAGCCTGTATACCTGTAAGAAAATTAAAATGTTTACAATACTTACACTTTGTGCAGAAGCGACAAAAGTAATTTTACAGACCAATACTTTTGTATATTCTATACTTATTTCAAGTGAATTGAGGTAAACTGCCCAGGAAAAGGGTGTGTATTTGCAGTGTTTTTTAATAAATAACTAGCAATGCAAGTCACTGGACAATATCAGTTCCAATATTACTTTAAGAAGTTTTTGAATACAGTACCTCTAAATTCAGGTGTGAAAAGCAGAGTCTGTAAAAGGGAATTGAGGTAGCAGGTCCCACCCTGATTTTTGATGCCACTTAGGTTGGTGAACTCCCTGGGAGCTGGAGGCTCGGTATCTTTGTGCTTTGACTTCGTCCCTTTTCCACATTGATTATTTGAAATAAAGGAAAAATCCTCTTCAAATAAGTCCCCAAACATTGTGAAGACAAAGTCCTTTAAAAATACAAAATAATCCATTACTACAAAAAATGCAATTGGATCTGCCTTCAAGAAAAACTTGAAAGATAATTCTTCATTCATCGCAACAAGGTTTTCTTATATCTTGTCTAATTCTACTCTGTTCCTTCAAATAATGAACGTACAGAAGGATGCACCAATGTAACAAAAAAGCTGAGTTAAAACTGATGTTGTCTTAGTGCAGGTCAGAATAAAAACCTTTAACTAGAACCACGTACATCACATTTCAATTTTGTGTGCATCAGCAAACACATATATACCAAAATAAACAGGTCCTTCTAAAAATTTGCAATTAACTAAAGCTCAGGTTGCCCACTTCCCTGCAGGAAAGTTATTTAAGAAGGCCCCAAAAACTGATCAGGATGCCCATGCTGTGTCTGAACAAATTCATGTGCTCCAATAACCTGTCTCTAGTATTGGCCAATTCAGACAGGTACAGCTTAAGAAACGGGCAAAACTACAGTGCTATTTTATCAAAGTATTCTCTTTGCTTCCAGATGTTCGAGAGGCAGAAACCTAATGGCTACAAAGTGATCCTTCTTCCATGATTTTTTTTTCAGTCCTTTTTGGAAGCCATGTGATCTTTTAGCAGTTAGTTCCCTTTTGTTTTTCAGGGCTTACTACCTGATAATTTCATTTGCTATTCCATAGTTTGTGTATTAGAAATGAATAATCAATAAATTACACTGAAACAGTGAGTAATCACCTATTTTCCAAATGCAATTTTATAGATCTTAATCACATTCCACTCATTTTTTTTTCCAAGACAAAAGACTCACCATTGATGTATCCATTCCTACAACTGCAACTGCATTGTCTGATTATCCTTAATCAACTTTACCTTCTCCGAACCCCCTTAAATTTCTCCCCCCCTTTTCTGAGATGAGGGCCACATCTGCATAAAATGTTCAAGATGTACACAAACCACAGACTAATACCACTAAATAATGTTCTGTTTTATTCACTTTTTGCACAACTGCTGAGCACAAAATTGCCTTTTTTAACAAAAAATTTCTTACTTTCCCAAATCCATCCCAATATAAACTATATATAGAGTTTACATATACACGTGTGTGTGTGTGTGTGTGTATGTAACGCTCTGATCGTCCCTGCCCTATGCTGTGTTCCTTTATACTCACCTACAGTGAATATCCTTTGCTATTGTACCATTCAGCCATTCACTAGCATGAAGCTTTAAAACTTCAGTGCCGGCACTTGCCTTTACTGCAATAAATCAGCTGATTTTACAAGCAAAATTAACCACTTTAGCATTCACTGCTTTTTCCTGATAGTTTATGATATGCTGAAAACACAGGCCCTATCAAAGATGCAAAGAAACTCCCACACGCTCCCCATTATGAAAGCTGACCTCCTGTTTTCTATCTTTTATCTATTTATTTAATTAAGGAAAGACTTTCTCCTTCTCCTGTGTTAGCTTAATTTCTTTAAGAGTCTACAGTGACAAACCCTGTTGAACACCTTTTGAAAATTAAAGTACAGTTGATAGCTCCCACTGAACCCATTGATCGTTCTCCACGTATCTCCTAAAACTCTTTTTTTAAAAATAGCATTGCCACATCTGCTATTTATGAAATAGCAAAAATACATTTTAGTCCTTCCCATAGCAGGACAGTTCTTAAGCAAAAAGCTGTGCTATATACTTAGCTACTCTGAGCAATGCAGCAAGGTTCAATCTATTTGATCTCTAACTCTTCTTCACCACTCCGTATGAGGCATATTCTTGTATATACCCCCAGCAACTAAAATTATGCAACTGGAGTTCCTTCTTAATGAAGACAGACGGGAAAAAGATAATTTTGGTCTTTTTGCATTAGGCTTTTCTTCTCTGAATGCAGCTCGTATACCTCGATCACCTACAAAATCTGCTAGGGTAACATCTCACATAATTCAAGATATGATTGGTAGTTTTAGCACCCTTTCCAATCTGTGCCTCGAACTTCATTTATTTTTCAGTTAGGCCTGTTGTCCTTCACATTTAACTATGCAAGGATTATGACCCATTCTTTGTTTCTCATCTGAACGCACAACATCAGGATGCTCCCTCTTGCTCCTAATAAGCTCCCTTACCATGAAAAGATGTTTACTTAAAAGGCAATGACTGTCTTATTGACAGCCCACAGTACCATCCATCACTCTGAAGAAGTACTTGAGCAGGTTAGTCCTAAATCTTCCCTCACTGCTTATTTCAGGATCCTCAAAGCACTGCTGCTAGTAGCTGCCTTCCATTAAAGCAAAAAAAAAAAAAAAAAAAAAGTGTAAGTTAGAAAGAATCTCTAGAGCTTTCCAGTCCAGCACTCTCTCAAACCAGGGTCAGCTTAGATCACATTGCTTAGGGCTTTGTTCAGCCAAAGCTGAAATAGCTCCAAGAAAGGAGTTCCCTAAACCCCTCTAAACTTCTGCCCCACTGTCTGACCACACTCCAAGTGAAAACACCGTACGTATCTCTAATGGGATCGGCCATGTTGCAACTTGCATCTGGCACCGCTCATCCTATCCCTGTGCACTAGCAAAAAGAATCAGGCTCCGTTTTACCCCACCACTTGGGAGCTGTGGAGAGCAGCAGGGTCCCACCTTCACCTTCCCTTCTGCAGGCCGAACAAACCCGGTTCCCTCAGTCTTTTCCCATCTGCCATGTGCTCCAGCCCCGACCATCTCGGTGGCCTCCACGGGGCTCTCTCCAGTATGCCCGGATCCCTCGTGCCCTGGTGAGCCCCGGACGGGGCTCTTGTGCCAAGACGCGGTCTCACCAGCACCAAAGACAGCAGTCACGTCCTCGACCTCCTGCTGGCACCACAGCAGGCACAGCCTCGCCTGCGGCTGGCCCTCGCCGCAGCGCAGGGCCTGGCGGGACCGG